GACGGCTGGACGAAACCTACAAAGACCATGGGCATTTTTTTGTTTGTTTAATATTAGAATGCATAAAATTATCACAGTAAATCATGTTCAAGCTTTTGTACTGAGCGAAATACCTGTCCAACTCGGCTGAAAGGCATCTAGAAATATTTTAATAAAAAACGTTTACTAACAACTTCCATTTTACTTCTCAGATGTGCGTGTGAATATTGCATCTAACCAAATTACAGTGTTACTGTTGAATTCAGCATTGTAAGAATAGACTATGTTGCGTGGCCTTCTATTGCAAGAAAAGACCGATGCACAAGTGAGGCAGAAACTGGGCAGGAGCTTAAGCTGAAAAACGCACTTTCATAAACACACAAAAGAAATAAAAAGAATTGTATAGTGAAGCAAAATGGTTTCATGTCACCCCCCAAGGTAGATACATACACTGCGCTCCTCTGTTAATACGAACACGAAAAAAAATCGCTTTAATTTGCAGTTTATTTCTTTGACAGCTATTGAAAAAGCTGAAAATGTGTCGCTCAGATTAGTGCCCCGAACGAGCGCTTTATTCCACACCAACAGGCAAATGTCAGCCCCTCGAATTTAAGGTGAAAAATGAAAACAGGATATTGAATGCTCTCGCTAACAGTGTCGCGCAGTGTACATAAACACCAAGGCACCATATCACAAACCGAAGCATACGAAGAAAAAAAGACTCATTTCATTGGGGAAAAAAAAAAGTAGAGATATAAATGGAGCACTCGCTTTCGCTAATTTTCACTGTCTTGCTGCCTGAAGTAACCAAACAAAATATCTGTCCGTTTGCCGACTGCTTTAGTCTTTGGTCTTTAACCTTTAATTTTTGGCTCTGGAGAGCTGCGGCACCGCGGAAAGCAGCAGCCCGAAACACCGAGGCCCGCGGTGCCGCGTCTAGGGAACATGGTAATGTGATGAGTATATACGTGCAAGATGACGACGATATGGGTTGTTGGTGTTGGGGAGGGTGGCAGTCCGATTCGCAGAAGTCCAGACTTCGTGGAGGCGGGTTGGGCGGGTGAGCAGCGAGCTATGAAGATCTTGCACGCCGCTCGATCAGTGCATGAAGGAGCACCAGGAACATAATGGCGTTATTGCTCACTGGGGTCCACTGGGGTCAAAGAATCATGCTCCAAGGAGGTAGTCCAGCCGAAGTAGAAGCTGCCGCCTCCGAGGAACTGAAGAACCGAGGGCTCAGATTGAGACACCGCCGTCGCCCGGTGTGTCATCCTCTCAACGTCGTCGTCGTCATCTCGCATAGAAAAATCGAGCCCGCTGGCTTAGACAAGGCAGCACCTGTTCCCACCGTTCAGGGGCCGTAAAAGGATTGCGGCCAGCGATTTCTCGAAGCAGCCAGAGGTTCTTGACTACCACGTGAAACGTTTTCTGGGGGACGCCTTTTCAAACAAAGTCTGCGCAGCTTCTTAGTGCAGTGAGGTTCATAAGGGTCAAGCGCGCTCCCAAGCATGATTTCAAATAGCGAGCACCCACCTTTCCAGAAAAGTCAACCTTCACTGAGAGTGGAACGTACTTCTCAAAATGGCGACGATAGCGGAGCTGACGCTCCACGCTCAAATCCCAGAGCGGGTCGCGCATGCGCGATGGCGACTCCGCTTTCCATAGAGCGGAGCGGGAAACCGAAAACGGTCTACTAAAACTCTCTAATTTTAGACTTTTCGTAGATCGCATACGCTGTAGATTTCGGGTCCTGCGGGCGCCAGCACAATCTGTGCTCAACGTGACGTTGAAAGCTCCCGCATGTAGTACGAAAAGTCTGTTCTTTCACGAAAGTAGAAGAGAGCAGCTCGTTCAACGGTGTGTCGAGCGCGATTGACCGGGAATGGGTTCGCGTTTTACTTGCTGAAAGGCCGTGACAAGGAACAGGAGCGTTTGCTCCAAGCACTTCCAAAATACAGACTACGCGGAAAAAGCGAGTGCGTTAAAATGCGAATTGTTGTGGTCCTCTTCGCAACAGCATTGCGCGAAGGGACCGGGATGTCTAATTTTATTAGGAACTTTTCGTAGATCGCATACGCTGCGTTCTTCTGGTCCTGCGGTCGCAAGCACAATCTGTGTTCAACCTGACGGCAAGAACTCCCGATAGTAGTGCAAGACTCTTGCGTACAATCTACGGAAAGTTTATTCTTTCCAGAAAGAAGGAGGAAACTGCGGAACTGCTAACGCAACATCGGGAATGGGTTCGCATTTTATGCGCTGGAAGGCCGTGACAACAGTCTGCTCCAAGCACTTCCAAAACACAGACTACGCGTACCTGCTTTCAGTTAATCAGAAAGGCAAATAAAAAAATGCTTGTAGCATTCTTTAAGCGCGTCTTTGTGCCGATCGTGAGTTGCGCTTAGAACGGACGGTTTTGGCGAGACGGGTCGCCACGATGCGGATAGCACGGTATACAGGTGAAGTATACTCTAGATTTCAATATTTCTTTTGACAGAGCAATAAATAACCCCCAAACACACCGATGGCGCTATTATGCAGTTCTTGCATAGCTTTACCACAGGCTACTGGCACGGCAACGCTCCTGGCTCGCGCTGAAAATCATTAGGGAGTTTTCGTAGATCGTTTTCGACGTCCCGCAAGGCCCTCCGCAACCCGCTGCGATAGCGGGAACTCCACAGTCAAGGCTATCGGCGCGCAGGCGCAGTAGCAACTTCTTCGTTGCGGAACGCTTAGCGGAGGGGGTAGCGCGGTCTACGAAAACTCCCTATTATCTAAAGGTGCAGCGTGAACGTCTGGTCGCAATAGAGTCTTGGCAGATTGTTTTTTCGCCCCGATAACGACACCCGATAATGATACGATGCATGGCCAAGCCCTCCGGAAAGGAGAGAAGGTATCGTTATCGGGACGAAAAAACGATCTGCTAAAACTCTCTAATAGGGAGTTTTCGTAGACCGCGCTTTCCCCTCCGCTAAGCCCTCCGCAAAGAAAAATCCGCTACTCCGGCTGTGCGCCGATGGCCTTGACTGGAGAGTTCCGGGTATCGTTGCGGGTTGCGGAGAGCGTTGTGGGACGGCGAAAACCATCTACGAAAACTCCCTCACCGTATGGCAGCCTGCGGTTACGCTATGCTAAAAGTGACTATTAGTAACAAGCCGTATGTTGATTACGTGTCGCAATGCGGTAAGACCGCGACGGTGTGCAGTGAGCTGTGAGCCTCTGGCAGAGACTTCAATACTGTGAACGCTGCTGTGCCGGAGCTTGACGGCCACCATGTGCGGTTAACGTTTCAGGCCAATAGTAGCCAGGCACAGCGCAAACACCCACGATATTTTCACCACCCACAAAAATATTTTGCCATATATAATAATGTGACCGCGGCACCCAAGCACGCTCGCCTTCCACAATCTAACAAGTTCTGTGATGTTTTCGCAACTTTTAAAGAACATGCTGGTTTTCCTAACGCCATCTCCGTCACCTGTTATACGCTCTTGCCCTGACCGTTTTGCATTTGTAGACAAATTAATTCATTTAAGCACACTGACCAGCGTTACCGAGCAGGTGCGTGCAAGATCTATCCCCGTCCCTTCCGCGATCTTGGAACTATCGCCCTGCCATCTTTAGGGCCGCTTTCGATCAAACTAATTAGTTTCTTAAGACACTACCTAAAAGAGTCAACTTTTGAACCTTAGGAGTTCCAAGGCAGAATGCAGTGCAAAGTTTCATCAGTGTATGAACTGTGAAATAAATTAGAGTCGTTATCAGGAACACACTGACATTGTTTAGGAAAACTATCGTTAGAAAACTAATGTAATGCCCAACATTTGTCTTCACTAGATAGTACATACGCAACAGAATGCCTGGAGAGTGCCGCTGTGAAAATAAAGTTTTAAAAAAGTAATTTATTTTATGCCAAGATTGAGGTGAAAAATTAAATAATTTTTTGCTTTTTGTGTTGTGAACAAAATCGTAACATATTTTTTTATAAAAGACATACACAAAGTAAAAAAAAAAATCCACAGTTGCGTTGCCCATTAAATTCGTTTGAAAAAGAAATGAAACAAAACAAAGACAAAAACAAAGTTCTGTGTTCGTCCCCCTCTTCGTCAGCCCGTCTCCGGTTTTATCAGAAATGTGGAAGGAGCAAGCCTTTCCTTTTGTCACGTTACCAATCGATAGTTTTCCTAAAGTGAAATTTTTGCCAAATTGTGAAACGGAGAATGCATTCAAAGTACTCGAACCTCTACCTTTTCTTTAGCAACGATGGACCGAAACAATTTTATATAAAAAAAAAAATAATAATAATAACTGCAGTGTAAACAAATGAAACTTTCTAGGAATACTCTCTAGATGCTGGTGGATATAAATATGGCATTTTTCAAAATTAACTTTTTTCCTGATTTTTGGTAGTGTCCCCTAAAATAATCCGTGGGCGAACGATCCCAATATACTTGCAGACAAGTATATTGGCATCGTTCACCCAGGAACTTCTACAATCGTCCATTACATGCCTCTCTACAAAAGGCGTTTGAAAACCACGCCCCTTTGGGTCACTATTTTATTAATCAATACATCATTAGTGCTGAACCCTGAAACGCTCTAATACAGTTGATTTTTCAGTTTCGGCTCATCGCCAAATCGATTCCATTGCGGTTACGGAAAGAATTCCGTTTATCGGTTCAATTTGAGTCCCTACCAGTGGCCCGCTAACGATTTAATTGAAGAAAGGGGCTTAGAAATAGGACAAGATATTTTGAGTGTGGTACACTCTACCCCCTGCATACTTGTTCAAGGCATAGCAGTATTAAATTCGTACAAGGACAACTCTGGTTTTGGCAAACACTGTTTCATCTTGGATACAGGTGTTTGGAAAGGATCGGAATTTAGCGACGAATTGTTACATCACAGAAATTATCACTTTTTCCACATAGTGTCTACTCTTCTACCCTTGGGAAACCAGTTATGCAGAATACCAGGGAAGAAATACTTGGTCTGTAACAAAGAGTGTGACACAGAGAAAAGAATTTCACACCACTTCCTTTATTATTCCAGAAAACATTACCGAGTATCAATAATCCCAATCAATAAAACAGGCCTGGAGCTGGAAAAAACATTACATTACAATAAGATAAAAATGATCCATCACGTTAGTGGATTACATGCAATGCATTACTGGCACTCCATTACTATCTAAAGTAATTTTGTAATTGATGCATTACATTTTCTCCACAGAATGTATTTGGTAAATATAAAAATTGTGTAATCAACATAATGGATTGCTTTCATTGCTTTTTTGGCAAAAGATAAAAACAAAATACAACAATAAGGTTTGATGACAAGCAGCCAATTCAGCAATGCAGGGAAGACAGCCCAATGCACCTCAAGAATCACGAAAAAGGAGCTCCATGCCCATGAAGACAAGATGGTCTCACAGAGCAACATGGGGAAGTCAGGGCAGCCACACAGTCTCCAATCCATTTTTTGTACGGCAGGATTTCTTTTCAGCATCCTCTGGGCACCTTAGACAGTTCCTTTACGTCCAAGAGAACTTTGATGGCTTGTAACGCAGTAAAGGAACCATAGTTCAATTCTGTTAGGCTGTGCTATGTTTGTGTGCAGTGATTTCCCTACCCACCCACTGAAAGGGGGGGGGGGGGGGGGGGGGGGGGGGGTTTCTGAGGGCACCCTCTAAAAAAATTTTCCGCCAAGGAAAAAAAAAATATTTTGAGCAAAATCATTGTTTTTTTTAGCGCGCTGACTCAAGAGTGGTTTCTATATGGAGCTAACCTCACAGTGGCATCAGAACACGAGCCGTTTCGTCGCCTCACCTCCACGCTGCTTAACTCTGGTTCCTCCCCTTATTGGCGTGAAGGAGAACAGAGGTGAGGTTTGCCCATTGAATATACATTCATTATTGACAACCATTGCGGTATCCCAGTATTAATACCATGACTGATATTTTCTGACGGTGATTTTTGCTTTACTTTGTGGTTTCTTAAGAAAATTATGTATTCTTCATTAAATGCTTAAACTGTCGCGTTGAATGTAGAGTTCCAGAACCTGTCGGGCCACCACGCATGTATCTTTGTCCACACATAGAAAAATACAGTGGAAAAAGAAAGAACTAAATAGAGAACAAAAATTGCCTCCCTGAGCTTGCCTACCCTAGCCTGCCTGCCCCCCCCCCCCCCCCCCCCCCCTTTGCCCCCGGAGACACCCCCAATCTTAATTCCTGAGAAACCCCCCGTTTCTGTGTGCCCCTGCACTGCACAATTTACTGCATGTTTACCTAGCACCCATTTTTTTATGTAAAAAAACACTTGTTTGACCATGACTGGAAGAAAGTTTGTACTATCAGAATAATTAAAAAGGCACAAAATGATTGAAATCAACCGATATCCAAATTTGTATTTTTATGTATATTTCAATACAGTTATTATCTCATAAGAATCAAAGCAATGAGTAATGTAGCAATTACACAAATCAATTACTTTTGTGCAAAAGTATTCAGAAATTGTGATCCACTACATTTAAGATTGAGTAATTCATAACTGTATACCATTACTTTTTTGAAGTAATGGGAACAAATTTGGTTCCATGCAAGCCATTCCGCTAGAAACAAACCAAATGAACTTACAAAGCCTTGAAGTAACACAACAGGAATAGGGGTCGAAATATCAAAAAACAAGAGTTGGCTTACTTTGCTGCATGGGAGAAGACATTGTTCTTCCCAAAAGCAAAATAAAAAAACATATTGGGACTTTGTCACAAAACAACTAAGGCGACGAGACCCAAACCATCACCCCAATTCCTCCATCGAATAATAACTTTTCCCACACACATAAAACTTGTAATATTTTTCTAGGTATAAATTTTTTACACACAAAAGGCACAATGCTAACAGGTTTGCAGTACGTCTTTGACATTGCATGGAATCATGTTAGACCATTAGCCTTCATTCGAGGCAACGTCTTATGTAAAAAACACACTTAAAAATAACCCATCAAAAGTGACGGGAAAAAATATCAAAGGTGATGCAAACCACCAATAGCAAAACACACAAAAAAGCTACTGTAGAATACCGCGCATCCGCCCATTCCACACTAAGCACCCATTCCTAAACTTGTAAGATCTGAGAAATTATGCACAGTACATTTATATGTAAAATTGATGACCCATCCCCCATTTTTTCGCAATTATCTTCAAATTCTAAATGGGGGGCTTACCCGGTATTTTAGGGTGAGTAAAATTAAAAAGTATTGTTTCAGACTATGCTAGCATCATATTCAAAGATTGAGAAATCCCTCATTCTTGCAACCTGTGAAGCCCACTCAAACAGAAGGGCACAAAATACGCTTGGAGTTAAACTAAGCCTTTGAACGACTTTTGTCGAGTTAAATATCCTCGCAGGGTAGTGCACCCACGTCACTCTCCCACGAAACCTACTGTAAAATCCCAAGCAAGCGTCCACTCTAAATTTGGAGATAATCGTGTAAAACTGGGGGAAGGGCACTTAGGTCAACAATACGTAAAGATAGGTCTTTTATGTATTTTCCAAATGTTACAAAATTGAGGGGTGGGCACTTCTTATGGAATGGGTGGATGCTCGGTATTTTATGGTAGTTAACTTCAAATGTGCAAATGTGTCCCAAAGGCTAAAACCACACAGATGTCGTGGAATCTTCCTCTAACAAACCACTAACCGCAAAATGTGAAATTTGGGGTATCCAACTTTTTTCGAGCAACGTCATGCATACCGTAATAAAAGAGAGTGGCAATAAAGGCCTCAACTGTTGGCAGTTTTCTCCCAGTGGGTAATACATAGCACACTAGTAGAGCAAAGCTAGAGAAAAACCAAAAAAGGGAGCTGGGTGGGCCTTTTCGATTGAAAGAGTCAGCTACAATGCCTAGTCTCAAAATCCTCAGTGCCCACACACAAAAGCATGCACCAAGGATGGAATGGGTGCCCCCGAGGGTATTCCAGGAAAAGGCCCGGAGGAGGCTGCAATGTCGATGTGAGAGTAGCACAGCGGCTTTGCCGAGTCCAGGCCGTGCTGCAAAGACAAAGGAAAATACCTAAGCCATACTACACAATCTCGTCACATGCCAATTAAGAGCAGGCGTGGCCCTTAAATGGTGCACAGAATGGCACTGGATGTCCACTAAAACATGTTTAAACAGCTTAAAGATTGTTCCAAAATTAACTTTTGAGTGTTTTCAAATTAGCATAGTAAGCACAAAACATGAGCAACACAGGGCTGGGGCTACAAATACATAATTGATGGAAAGCGTCCCATCCCTCAAATTTGAAGAGAAATGGTTAAATTGATGGCGGCAATTAGTTTACGCAAGAACTTGTACAGAAATTGTAAGATAGCAATCAGCCCTCCAGGTAGACTCAGCTAGAATACCAAGACAGTTGAGTAGCCTGTAATAGTTGCTGTAGATTCTTTGTGCCAGGTACTGTCTTACAATATTTTTAAAAAATGCTTCTGCACATTTTCTACTGTTCTTCGCAAACAATAACTCTTTCCCTGATTTTGTTTAAGGACTGCCCAGATACAACGACAAGTTGAAATACATCGAGCTGCTCACCTCCCTAAGCAGGAATATGCTGGTAGGCTACACCAGGTGTGTTTAAAGGGGCACTGAAGTCATTTTTGAAAAAAGTCGTTTTTGATTTTATACTGTTTAAAAGGTGTTAGTTCCTGCATATACCAGGTCCTATATTACAAAACCGCCTATTCATCTCAGGGCAAGAGAAAAACATGTGGACTTTTTTCTCGCGGACTACACTGTGTAGACCAATGAAAGCCCTACAATGTGCGCAGATTCCGAATGATTTTATTATAACTCGTTCTGATAGGTACACATTCGGATAAGACTCATCTTTTTCTCTGCGGACGGAGCCATCGCTTGCAACTCGCCGACAAGCGCCCTTCGTCGACCACTTCACTCGGAAAGAAAATTCTCCCCAAAAAGGGTGTGTTGCAATCTTCGAACATGCTTTTAACAAGAAAATAAGCTACGCACGATTGTGATTTCACATTTGTTGGGATACTTAGAGAGTCTAGATTGAGATGTCACAACAAAAGGACCATCTCAGAATCAATTTCAGTGCCACATGTGCCGGGGAAATTTTTTTTTATTTTTTTTTTATTTGCAACAATTGAATGAAATTTTTCACACTTTAAAGTGCTTGATCTCTTTTCCCTAAATCTGGTGTTTGGTTTGATATGGCTGGCTTTTTATGTTCTGGATGCAATGCATGTGCAAAAAAATACATGTTCTTGCATGCGTGTGGGATATGGCAACACAAAAAAGAGCATAGTAAAATAGGTTGATTCGCTCCTTTTAAACCACTCAGTGCAATGAAAAACAAAAATGATGTGTATGAGAACACTTCTATTTCAAGATAAATAAAAATTGCAAAAAAGTTATTTTCAAAAAGCTAACATGTTTTTTTTTTTTTTTTCATAAATATACAATATATATTCTTTAAACCATTATAGTTTCATTCTACATATCCTCAAGCTTATCGATGCCAAATTTGGTTGTCATAGAACAATATTTAAAAAAAACATTCTCGTGCACAAAATGAGAAAATGCCTCAGAATTGCAAAAAAAAGAAACAGATTCAAATATTAATATATATGTGTAAGTGGTACTCCTAAGCGGCAGGAAAAAGAATTTTTTGTTATTATTTTTCGTGATAAATTTAAGCTACAAAAGATTGCACCGAAGAAGAGATGGCTAGGCCTACTTCTCAAAATAAATGTGATGGCAGGCGACATCACAATTTGAAGAACTGCACACAAACACCGCTCATATTTATGCCTTTCTCGATTGCCCGGAGATCTTTAAATACAAATTCGACCTAATTTCACGACAATATTCAGTTTCTTTTTATATACATAAAATATGAAGATTTGGGGACACTAACACCCCCAAAAATGTTTTCTTTTTTTGACAGGCGACTTAATATGGTGTCCGGAGACCACCCAATAAATATTTTGCTGCAGAGTTACGTATAATTTTAATAAAGCCACAAATCTCCACTGCACGAAACCGAAACATGACCACGGAAGCTCATGGCCGGAAGTCATGTGGCTACACCCGACTGCGTTTATTTTTCTTCGCTTCTCCGGCGTGTGAAGCAGACAACGAAGTTGCAAGTACCGTTTGTCGTTTCACTTCCACTCAATGTTCTGTGCTTGACGATCAATTGGTTGGTACCACTAATGACAGTTCCGGAGTAGCGGCCCCACGCCCATCGCAATGTTGGTCCGTTGTGCACCGCCACCGCGTCGTCCAGCCCGCGGTACAGCCCCATATTGAGAATGACGTGTACATGTACTTTCTGTAATCTGTGCAACATTTGTTTTTCTTTTTTTCGATCAACATGTTTGCAGATTTTTGGAGGCCAGAAAAATGGGGTTCATATTCTTTTCTATCTTTAATATTGAATGAATGCCTTAGATGACCCACGACTTTGAATATATTTGGTATGCTTTAGTTTGAATGCCTTGTGACCATAGAAAAGAGAGTGAGCACGACTGAAACCGGCCAATTCTCGACCGGCTGTTTTCGGGCAGAAAGAAAACGAATTTCGAGCCGCAAATTGAGTAGTTGCACTCTTATAAGTCATGTTTAAATAAATATCTCGGCGAGCATAAATACTCTGTCAGTGTCCCTCCCCCTTCAAGCATAATAAAACACACACTAAAACCAAAAATCACATTTTTTGCAAAATTTTGCTGTTTTTCAATTTGCATCTCCCCTTAACCAAGCGATGATCTGGTCAAGTCTCAAAAAACGCTAAAATTCCAGCCACAGCTATATTTTGTGAGTCCCAATAACGTTTGAACATAAAGGTGCACTAAAGTGGTTTTTCACTTCGTCTTTTTACAACAAGTCTAACTTCTGTGCCTCAGGAACTCTAGAATTCTAAAAATGTATGGTGCGAGCAACGTTCCTATACTCCGCTCACCCCAAGCTGAGACTGCAGCGGAAGCTACGTCCTTGTTGGACCAGTCATACGCCTCTCTTTCGCTATGTCATCGCACTTGTAAAATCATCACGCTTCTGAAATACCCACGCGCGGAGAGCTGGGTAAGGTGATGAGAGAGAGGCGGCTGATAGGTGATGCGGGCACGTAGCTCCCACCGTAGTCTCAGCAGGGTGAACGGAGTAGAGATCAGTCAGTTGACAAGCTTCCTGAAACGCCTGGCGGCGGCTATTCGTGGCATGCGTGCTCCGTAGCGCTCGCTACACCATCAGCCCACCCAATGAACAGAAGTGGCGGAACTGGTGGAACGTTAGGTGTATATTACCTGTGGTGGAAAAGGAATCTATTGTGGCTTTCATGGTAAACCAAGTTTGTGCAAAACCCGGTGCAAACAGAGTGTCATTCGAAAGCGGTCACTTTACGTTGCTTGTGGTGGAGGCGTTGATGCTGGTGGCACTAAGAAAGAAGCCCATACCTGCTCGCGTGCACGCAAGAGGGAAGAACCGATTTGGATTGCAGCTTGCTAGAGGCCGCCGCTGTCGCCACTGATTTCACAAGCTATGATGTCATCAGACAGGCTACAAAAAGCGAAACCCGCAATACGTGCAACCAGAGAAGCAACCTGGCTGCCTACCAACAAAGTACTTCGCAGTCTTCACCGCCTCTTGCCTATATCTGCACACGGACACCAGATCTGGCGACGAGGATGATGAAGCAGAAGCAAGACCCAGAAAAGCAGCTGTGATGGTCCGACGATGTACGACGCGCAGCACCGCCGTACGAAACTGGATGGTCGGCACACGAGAAGCACGCCTTCGACGATGGCAGCCTCCAATCACATCGGTCAACTATATGCGTTTTCACCTCAAGAAAAAAGGAAGTATTTCATATGCCTCTTGAAGTAGTTCTAATAAGACTTGGTTGCCAGAGGAAGAATCAATGCTTTTAGCGCTTGAGACGTGCACTCCTGATAAGAATACACATTTTTGATCTAAAATTCACCTACATATATATTAATTCTCCACATAAAGGGGGAAATTAGCAATGCTCCGCAAGGAGCCGGACTTGTTTTACAACAGTTCTTGAGGTGAAAACAAGTATAGAAGTTTTCAATGAAACTCTGAGCCCTGGGTCTTGTACGAAGAAAGGTTAACTTTTTTCTTTCTGGTGAACAAAATCAAGCGAGCTCAAGGTGCATGCATTCCCGAGCATAATGGGGCCCAAGACATATGTCCTATTGAAATCTTTGACGGCACCAGTTAAACCATCAGAACGAACGCTTGAGCAGCTGACGGAATAGCTGCACAACCACCTGACGCTAAGAGTGTCAGTGATAGGGGAGCGTGCTAAATTTCACAGACTATGTCAGCTGGAACATGAAAGCCTCGCACAGTATGTAGCAGAGCTCCGAAAACTCACTGTGACCTGTGAATTGGGCACCTTTCTGGACAATTCATTAAGAGACAGGTTTGTGTGCCGACATACAGCGGTACTTTTTTGCTGAAGACACAACATTAACCTTTCAGACAGCCGTTGAATGCGCACTCGTTTTGGAAGGAGCTAAGAAAAATGTCAAGGAAGCGCACGCAAAAGAAGTGAGTGATGACTTGCACAAGTTTGACACAGATGAGCCCACGAAAAGTAAGCAGTCCTTCGAGTGTTATTGCTGCGGCTTTGATAAGCACCTCGCAAGGGCGTGTCCGCACATTGCAGATAAATGCGCAAACTGTGGCAAAAAGGGTCATGTTCAACATGCATGCAGGGGCAGCAAGAACAAACCAGTCCACGGGAAAAAGTGGCTACAGACTCTACAAAACAGCAGTGACACAGGAAACAGTCCAAACGTTGTCACCAAAAGCTTGGCATCCAATTACTGTCAAAGTCTAAGTTCAAGGTACGCCTTTGAGCATAGAGTTAGAGACAGGTGCCTCTGTGTCCATGATTCCAAGACAACAGTTAAAAAAACTTCGACCTGCTCTGAAGCTTGAACCAACGAAGCTGCGTCCAAAGACCTACACCGGCGAAGCAGTGCAGCCCTGCACCGTCTTGCCCCTCTACGTTGTCGACCACAGCAGACTAGCACTTCCAGATTGCAAGTGGCTCGTCAGTCTTCACTTGGACTGTGACTGCACCTGTACTGTGCACAAGCTGTCTGATGGTTCTCAACCTAACACCAGCCACGAAGAACTCGAGGCATGCTTAAGAGGACTTCAAGCCAAGTACAGCATCATCTTCGATGGCACCCTTGGCAAGATTGGAGGTGAGCAAGCTTAAAGCAAGGAATGTGCCCCATGCACTACGTGTGGCAATAGAGGAGAAACTGCAAAGCCTGGAGCAAATGGGTGTCATTACGCAAGTATCCACCCGTGAATTTGCCACTCCAATTGTCCCTGTTGTCAAAAAGGACAGCTTCATAAGAGTGTGTCGAGACTACAAGACAACAATAAACCAAATCCTTGACACGGAGCAGCAGTACCCCCTGCCCAAGCTTAACAAAATTCTAGCTGCACTTGCCAGAGGCAAATATTTTTCCAAGCTGGATCTCAACAGGGCCTACCAGCAGGTAGAGATGTTAGAGGACTCTAAAAGGCTGCTTACATCGCATACACACAAAGGACTTTTTGCTGTGAACAGGCTTCCCTTCGGAGTAGCTTCATGCACCTGCGTTGTTTCAGCGTATTATGAATATTATTCTGAAAGGACTACCAGGAGTCGTATCCTACCTAGAAAATATTCTGATCACGGCAGCTACCGCTGAAGAACACGTCAGAAACCTGGAAGCAGTTTTTCAAACACTTGCGGGCAAAGGTGTTTGTGTCAAGGCCACCACTGTTGCCACTGACGTCACAAGCTACGACGTCGTCAGACAGGCTACAAAAAGCGAAAGCTGCGATGCGCGCAGCCAGGGAAGCAACCTTGCTGCCCACCAATAAAGCACATCACAGCAGTCACCGCTTCTTGCCTGTATCTGCACACGGACACCACACTGCTCTTCCATGGAGCCTGTCAACTGACAGATCTAAGAACATTGGGTGCGAGTGCCCCGCTTCGATATAACAGTCACAGTTTAACCGAGACTGACGCAGACTGACGCGCGCAACCAGGAGCATCATGAAATGTGCTTGGTCCACACCTTTAACCCCACGGCTGGGGATATCTCTTCAAGGTTGCATACACGAGTGGACATCCTGCAATCTTGAAAGAGCTCTACCACAGCTAGTTTAGAGGTTCTCAACATGGACCAAACATGTGTCATGATGCTCCTCTAATTCTTTCTGGATCCTCCTCCAATCTGCATCGCTCCAGTCACAAGGTGACCCGTAACATATTTTTTATATCAAAGAGAATTTTTGTGTTTTTAATAAGTATTTCTAGAATTTTTGAAGCACATATATTAATTTAGTTTTACAAATACGAAGAGAAAAACCACTGTAATGCACCCGCATAGTTAGGCATAAATGAAAAATGGAAAGCGCGCGTTCAACGCAGGTGGCTTTGGCACCGGGGGAGGACGAGTACAGCAGTGATACCCTCGCCCTTTCGCATATAATAACACCTAGTTGCGGTCCAGGCGCAGCGCATTCGGCCAATCGCGATTGCGCTGGGGGTCATGTGATTGCCCTCCTCGCCCCCTGCTCTTTCTTGCCTCCGGTTACCAGTTCCCTCGGCGCTCTAAGCCTTTGCGCGCAAGAATGGGGGCGGCCAAAGCATATGCTGGAACAAGCAGCGGCTGCTCGACAGCGTAAGAGCGCCCGTGAAAGAAAATGTCGTCGATGTGCAGGCACCGACGGTCTCACACTGGGTGCTAGGATGGAGCGCAATTGACGTCAAGATCATGCTGTGCGCGAACGTGAAGTGGCACGTACAAGAGAATGTTACCAATCGAAGAATGGACATGCTGGTGCGACCGAGTGATTTGTGCAGCACATCCGCGAAAACGTGTTTTGTGCTGACTGCTCTGTCTGTGATCAATTGTAGTTTACAGAAGACCTGGTGTTTTTGCCAGCGGCTTGAAGAGGCCTTCTTTACCTTATCCAAACCAGATGCCCTGATCAGGAAAGCAGCTGGAGACTGGTGACCTCGAGGGGTACGGGATGAAGGCAGGTTGTTCGACTGAAGAATATCCTCGTACTCCGAAGGCCCGGCCACAAAGGTGTAGTCCTGCAGCGTGTCAGAATGCCAACATCCAGACATCCACGGGAAGGCTAGCGGACGTCAGCACTCACCTCACGGCGGATGGTCGACACTTCAAACATGTCGCCAGTTGCATCGCCTGCAGCCTTTACTTTTGCACTCACTGCCTGTTCCCGAGCCGGTCCGTTGTCCAATATGATCTGCACAAACAGGCACAAACAACTGAGCTTTCGAGGAAGTCACAAAATTCAAAATCCCTAAACTGTGCAACTCACCGAGTATCCGTCGCCTACAGCCAAACAGGCGTGGCCAGTCAGAGTGGCGATGGTGAACAGGCGTGGGTTGGTCTCATGCAGAGCCTGTCCGTTATCAGTTGACAACAGTGTGATTCAGCTCACAGGAGAGAAGTAAAGCAGGCTTACTTTTTCCTTGAACTGGGCAAGCACATCAGCCATGGCCATTCGTCCCTCGGCATCGGTGTTCCCGACACGCACCCGCACTCCCGCACGTGATGTTATAATTTCGTCCGACACGTAGCCATCTGCAGAATGTGCCTACTAAGCAATGACAATTCAATGCATTCTTGACCATGACTTACCGGGCCCAATGCTGTTCCGAACCATGGCCATGGCACCGTAAACCTTCACTCCCTTTGGCTGCAACTCACTCAGGACCTGGGTGTCATAAACAATGTTATAAAAACTGCAAACAAAAATATACTCCACGTTATGAAGTGGCTTACCTTGAAAAAGCCTGCAACTGCAGCAGCACCACACTTGTCACGATGCATGCCAGCCATAACGCCACCCGCCTTCACATCGGCTCCTCCGGTGTCGTAAGTGACGCCCTAAAAAGCGGCCCAAGATGACTTTTGTAATACAATGAACTCAAAGTTTAATTCTTTTACCTTTCCCACAAGAAACACAGTCGATGTGACAGGCCCCTCCGGAGTGTAAGTCAAGAGGACCATCCTTGCCTGATGTCTAGCAATGCCTAAAAAAGGAAATCATTTACCTTTCTAGTATTCTCATCTCTTAAATTGTATCATATTTGCGGGAGGATTAAAACCAACTCCCCGCAGCAAAGACACCTGATGGTAAACATACAAACCTCGAGCAGCTCGGTTTACGGCGGCCAGGAGAGGGTATTCTTGTTCTAGCAGCTTCTCGTTCGAGATGACTTCAACTTGAACTGGGGACCCCTCAAATACTTTCTGCACATAACTGGCTACCTCCGGAGGGCTCATTCTTTCGGGGTCCGAGCCTCCAATGTCACGGCAGACGATCCTACATTTTCAAAAGAATATGCCCATCACCTCATCGGCACTAGGATAACATCCAGAACACCCGAGTTCCAATGCAATGAAAGAGAAATTCAAACAAGGCCTTGCCTGCCTTTCTCCAGTGCTAGAGCAGCTGCAAACATGCGATCTCGGTTGGGCAGGGACGGAAACTGTGCAAATCCGAGACGATCCACCTTCTGCAGGCGGCTCGGTACATCTTGCCTGATCTCGAGGGGCTGCAACATTTAATCCTCAGCAACTAAGAATTTGCAGTGGGCTTGTGGGCAACATCTTGGCCACTCTACCCGAACGCCACGTGCTTACCACGTAAAGCGGGTGCAGGGCTCCAAGCACAGTCACCAAGTGGAAGCTGGTAAAAGTGCCGTGTTGCGTCGGCAGAAATACCAGAGGTTTCTTGCTTCCGGCAGAGAGGGCCCTGCGGCAGACATCCCAGACTTAATGCTGGCATTCCCAAAGAAGCAACAAATGGCACCCAGACAGATACCATATTGTCTCCAAAGAACAAGAGCCCTACATGCAACACGCAAGACTGCCAACCAAAAGTCACCCCAATGACAACCTTGTAACTAACCTCTTGACGCCCTTGCATGCCGCATCAGCAAAGGCACGAACGTCGTCCTGGTCTCTGTTCAAAGGCCCGGTTGGCGAGTACACCTACAAAATAAAAAAGGAGGCATTCCCAAAGCTGCTTGCATCGATACACTGATTATTAAAGATAAAGCACTTATTTTGCACAAAAAGACGTCCTTTACACTCCTTGTCTTGTTCAGTCAAATTATGAGTCAGAAGTACAGAACTTAATACTCCCATGTAAGCTCCCATAATTCGATGTTTCCAAGGTCAACATCAAATTTTTTTTAAAAAGGTATATCCGCATTGAAAAGCAATTGAGAGAAGGCATCAATTTAAGTGCAAGAATCGACTAGATGTAGCAAGGTATGGTAGTCATGACGACAACTTCACGGTGGTTCAGTACTCACTCATAAAGTTTCACTGACTGTTTAGAGTCCAAGAGCATTCACTTATCATCAGCAGTCCGGCGATGTACCGATGCCGAGCATAACTATTTGCCTTTCAACTCGTAGACGATCGACGCAAGAAGCGAGACACCGTGGATCCGCACCCAGCAACAGCAATGGCGTCTATAAAAGCAACCGTCCCAAGGCACCCAATGGCAGCCTGGCGATGTGCCAATGCTGAGCACAAACGTTTGCCTTCCTGCTTGTACGCAAGACAGCATTGATCGCGTAAAGCTATCGTTGTGTTGTGGTCTGCTGGGCTGTCTGTTTGCTGGTTTACTTTTAGTGGTTTTGTTAGAGATCAAAATGACTGAGTGAACCGATTCCCAAGTAGCACCCAATGTTGTGCAAACATTCCCTGGATGTTCAGAATGCTGAAGGAACATTAAAACACCATTCGGATATCCTAGGAACGTTCGTATGCGAACATTTCCTACAAGCTAAGCTGCTCAACATTCTAGGAACGTTCATAGGCAAACATTCGAATGCACAATGTTTTGGGAACACTCCCTTTCGAACATTCGTATGCACAACATTCTCGGAACGTTCGCTTGCAAACATTCCTAGAATGTTTGCAGGTGATGCCAACTTTACGGAGCTCTCACGCAACCTGTGGTTCGCAACACCATCCACTACAGTGAAACCCGTTTATAACGAACAGCAGGAAATGCTACGATCAGTTCGATATAGCAAGTAATTCGATATAGCAAAAACCATTTACAACGAACTTCCCCGATGCGTTTGTTTAAGGCGAGAGCTTCTCTTTCTTTCTTATACCTTTGCTTCACCCTTGTAACAACCCGCTAGATTTTTTTTTTTTTTTTTTTTTTTTTTTTTGCGTGCAGTTTTTTTTTTAGCTTATCTTCCCTTCTGAATCGCTTCTCTTCATGGGCAACCGTTTTGGGATCACAAGTTGTTTTCTTTCCTGCGCGTGCGTGCAAATTGTATATTTTAGCTTTCTCCCCTTCTGAATCGCTTCACTTCGCTTCTCTCAGTTTTGTTCACAACTTGAGCTTTTGGAATTTTCTTTTTTACCTACTTTTCGATATCGACAATAATTCGCTGTACGTGGGTTCGTTCTAAACGGGTTTCACTGTATATGCCACTTTGTGCCAAAAATATGCAAATTAAGTGGAGTTTCTCGAAACTTAACATAAGGGATCAGTTTTATCTTATAGGAGTCTAGCAAGGAATGTGATATAAGGTGCAGAAGAAAAGCAATGGTTTTCAAAACTTGATAATGAACTTGACACTCACTGCATGTGACAGGGGCAGTTTTAAATGAACCAGATTTTTAGTACCTGGGGTTTAAAACTTTGAAAAAGGTATTTCCCAATTGAATGTGGGATGCATGCATGTGTATTTGTTCTTAAGCTCGGAGTGAGTAATCGGTTATGTATACAGCACATTTTTAATGAAAGAAGTTGACAAGTGACAGGTAGCAGTAACAGGTAGGAGGACAAGTGACAGGTACGTGCTCAGGCTGGTGCGCTGGGAAAGCGGCTAGCTTGTGCTTGCACCTTTTAAAAATCTGTTTCAATTAAAAAATATTGCCCTGCCAGGAGCTTTATCACAACCATATACTGTAAACTACTTAATTTTCGCAGGCTCAAATTTTCGCGAATCGGGCCAAAGCTGAAAATTTGAAATCATTCGCAGGTTATAATTTTCGCGAATCGAGTGTAGCTTCCGGAGCCTTCACATATTGCCCAAATTCTTCGCGGGACATATTTTTTGCGAATTGTAGGCGATTTGCGAAATTCGCGAAAACTAGGTCCTCGCGAAAATTTAGTCGTTTACAGTATATAGTGCGGCGCATTAGGGCTGTCTCCTAAGTAAACCGTAATTGTGGACTCTTTGTAAATAGTCCTCAGAGAATGTTCCCTGAATGTAGCGATGTACCCATGCCACGTTCCGAGGAAATGGAAAGGATGTGCCTGCAAAAATTTGCAACATTTCAAGAAAGTTGCAGAAGTTCTTTGGATGCGACAGAATTAATTGGGGGGCTAGTTGGTTGAACATCTAGACGGTGCACTTTTAAAACCACCGTCTAGATGTTCTTTGGATGTTCTGAGAACGATCTTAGAACCTTTTTAGGATATTTGAATGTTAATTGAATGTCCTGGTAATGTTCTGTGTCGTTCTCAGAATGTTCTAAGAATGTCCCTCAGAAAACATTCCTCGAATGTAGCGATAAGTGCCTGCACCACATTCTGACAACGTTGATAGAATGTTCTTACGTAAAGTTGTAACATTCCAAAAATTTTTCCTTTGTTCTTTTGAACATTCCCGGAATGTTCTCAGAACGTTCTTGTGCTACGTGGGATGTTTTGCATGCTTTGAGGCTTTCTCAAAGGATACTGTGACTATTGCATGCGTTGAGTGCAAAAGTCGTTATCACGTAAAGAAATGTTCCGGTACTACAAAAACGTTTTTTTAAAAACATGACGGCAGAGGAACAGAACTCCTGGCACTGCGTCACGAGCGAAACGCGCACTAGGGGTTCATTCAGTTTGTCTTCTTTGGAGACAAGCAGGATGACCGAGGATGATCTGTCGATGCAGGGTACCCAGGAGTGCAGTTTGGTAGCTATCATGACAAGACTGTCAGAGATCGACAAAAAGCAGACTGAAGTACTGGGTAAAATCGCAAGTGTAGAGAAATCGCTTAGCGAACAATCAAGCAAAGGCAATGCCATGATGAGTAAAATGAAAAACCAGACAAAAACAATAGAAGCTATGGAAAAGAGCTTAAATGAGCTTTCTACCAAGTATGATGAGGTTCTTGCAATGTTAAAGAGTCACGAAATCGCAATGAAAGAACTGAAAAAGAAATCAGATGAACTAGAAACCAGGATGGAAGCAAGAAACCTAGAAATTCAAGGAAACAAGAACTTCACTAAATGAGGCAGAATTGTACTCTCATCGAAAGAACATCAAGATTCAATTCACAGTACAGGATAGCAACCACATGAAGATGTAACGAAACTGGTTGAGGATCTGGCACCCAGACTGGGACTCCCTGTGCCCACTACTGAACACATTGAGGCCTAGCACAGGCTAAAAGCCAGGGAAGATAAAATAGCTCCGATCTTGGTTCAGTTCACGGACTTAACGAGTAGGAATTTCTGAACGGAAAAACAAAGTGCACTCAGAACTGATGGAATCTTGTGGGTTGCCCCTGTGGGGGTACCACATAGAAACACAGTAGGTTCCTTGGGTCTGGATAATGATGTGTTTCTTGACCAAAATGTCACATCACAGTCTGAGATAATGGCGCTGTCTCTTTTGACAGTATCTCCATTAGGAGTCCACGCTGCCACCATTAACAGTATCACGAAAGGGGGAGGGTCAGAACAATAAAGGAAGGCTCCGTACAACCAGGAGAGTTGCTCCTGGTTGTTGGTTTTGGCCGGATGTAGGTGGGCTCCCCGGAGCGGCAGACGCGTCCAAGTATTAAAATTCCGGAGGGTGTACCTTCGGCAGATCACCCGAGAAGAGCGAGGGAAACTCATCCACAAGGAGCACGGCCTCGCCTTGCATCCGGGACTCGTCCCGACATGGCGACGCCCCACGGCCTGTCTGAGCTAGGCCTAGATAGGGATGCGGGGAACACGTGGTTCCCACAATCTTCGGAGCTGTGCAACAATTTCAGGGCTTTGCTTAAATTATTGTGGAAGTTGATGCCTGACACTTCTGAAGTGAACTACAGAAAACAGATTTCGCCTGGATACCCTAGTTTTTATTTTAAAAAATTAAAAAGATCCATGTTTTTGCCGCCTCTCAACTCATACGTCGTCTTCCGGGTCACGTGCGCAGTGACGTTGACAGGGTAGGCGCGGGGTTCCGGAAAAGTTCTCTCTTTAGAGCCATCAGTGAGCAGCGAGAACTCATCTGCTCACAACCGCGCGAACAATATGGTGAAAGGAGGAAAGTCTCATCCGGGTCCGGCCATACCCGTCCGGCCCTGTCCCCCTCCCCCTTTGGCTTCTGGCGGCTGTTCGCGGTAGCAGAGAGAGCTGACGGTTTTGTTGACCTAGGATAGATGGCGCCACTAAAACTCCGTATAATAAAAGTTTTGTTGATGATACCAGGTTTTTGACGCATTTATATATATGTTGGAACGACAAGATTTATAGAAAAGTTACCCTTTATCGAGTTACCTTTTAGCACAACTTCTTACCTTATAGCACAACTTGCTATCTCTCTACAAGATTCCCCATTGACGTTACGCTGCGTGTTTCTCATGGCCGCCGCTCGCGGCTGCAGGTTGGGGAATATTCTAAGTTTTGCCTTGCTATTACACGGCGGAATTGCAACATTTTGATGAAAGGAGGTGTGTTTTCTGTCATTTGTGACAAGGTGAACAATGTCAAAAGCAGATGCCAATTCTTTCAACGTTAAAATCGTTGCACAGCTCCTTTAATGAAAATCTAACCAGGACTATTAGAGGACTGTTCTGGGAGACAGAGAAGGCTGCCGGAGAAAAGTACAAGTATGTATAGATGCGTAATGATAAAATCTTCGTAAGACAAAGAGAAGGTGCGGCTTCTATTAGAAGTGATAATGCAAGAGACCTAAACAAAATGCGTTAAAATGGAAACCTCATTTCAATCATTCTTTGAATGGGAGGCTTTTACTGACTGCACCGAAACACAGTCTAAAAATATTGAATTTACCCTGCTGCATGATAATGTTAGAAGCCTGCAAAAACACTGGGATCAGTTGAGTGTTTATTTGTCAGGCAGGTTGAGTAACCTAGATGTGTTAGCATTGAACGAAGTCAATGTTAATAAAGTGACTTGTACCGGGTTCAAATTTAGCAATTTCCCTTGTCATTCTCTGTGTTGTGAAAAAAGAAAAGGTGATGATTATAATGCATTTAAATGCAAAGGAGCAAGCGAGCTGTACAAGAATGACGAAAATAATCCCTGGAGAAGGGGAACAAGAGGGACAAAGGACAAACACAAATCTCCAAACACAGCTAGGTGACTGGTGAGCGACCGAAAAAATCCGCCTTGTGTATTGATGTTTGTTAGGGATGACGGGGTGTCAGAACGTCTGGCAATAACATTTATTCCTGCGGAAGTCATAGCAGTGTCAATATTCAGACAAAACGCGTCATTCATAATTTGTGCTGTTTGCGTGCAGGCCTCTCGCCCTCAACGTGGCTTCTTTTTGAGAGAAATCGGGCTGCTTTTTAAGCAACCCAATTCATGCTCTCATTATATTTAATAGTATACCTACAGATCCAAGAAGCAGATGAAAAAAAGATAAAAGAGTGGTGTTTCTTTCATCAGACCTAACTAGAGGATTGACGAGTTGAACTATGAAACTTTGTGTGAACATCTGTATTCTTTTTCACTGCCACTAGTTATTGTACTTATGGTGATCTTTGTCATTACACAATGAAATGGGCTTAACTGAATTATGTCGTTGAAAAGCTTCAACATGAGCTAAGTCTGTACTTTTCCTTTTGATTGTATTGTTTCATTATTGCAAAGTGCCAAAACTGTTTTACGACACCATTAGTAATTTTTTGTGTATGTCTACAAATTGAAATGAGTAAATTTACTGCACTGCCCCGCATACAAGCATTCTATGATTAAGCAGGCTGGATGTGTTTCTGATTTTCTTCTGTAAATAAACTTTATCCTTATCCTAAAAGTACAGTTTGAAGAAAACAGGTGGGAGAAAAATGGCCAGTTCTACTGGTCCCTAAAAATTCGGCAGCCCTTTTCCGTAACGGGTTATGGAGGGAGTTCTGTTGGGTCAGAAGTAAATGAGGGAAATAGAAAAAAAGAAAACAAAAACATAACCATCTCCTAGAAACATGCACCGACGCCATTTGGACCATGCAGAAGTGGCTTCAGTCCTGCTGGCGCCAACAGTTAATGTCAGCGGTCGTCTCCATGTCATACAGATCCCAGCACACAGTAGTGACTTTGTTTAGAAACCACCATCGCACGAAAATGGCAACTGACGCGACCTATGAGCCGCAGTGTAGAGTAGCCAGCTTGTCTTCTTAATGATGTGAGCGCATTGTGAATGTGACTGCACAAGTTTGAAAGAATAAAAAACCAAGAATGGGCACAGGCTACCATACTCTACCATTTAGAAACAATGTGTAATTTTGAGCACAAGAACCCCGGTGAAAAATCTTGATATACAAGATGTGAGAAAGGCAGTCGGGCAAAGAGAAGGGGCAAAGATGCTAAAGCCAAAATCTATGTGTGAGTGGCCACATGAGAGTCAAGTTCTGCATTTAGAAATTCTCTCTCCTTTTGATATGTTTGGCGTTGCAGACGACACAGTCTTTTTGGCTTTTTCAATTAGACTGGCTTCAATAGTCCCATGTTCATGGCGCTGACTGAGCCCTGTTACGATATGCATGCCACCAAAATTTGGTGCCTACTAATATCACTCCTTTGCATGAACCACTATAAAATGGGTGGGGTGGTCGGAGCTCGATGCTGCCTCATTGCGATGCTTGCATAGTATGAGTGATGGAAGGTGCATTTATCTGTTGCGGCAGGTTTTGTAGCGGGCAAAATATTGGTTTGGAGCAGCCACTGATGCTTTGGGAGCAAATGCGCAACGTCTGTTTGCTCATCACTCGAAAATGAAAAAGTAATTGCCTCGTTAAATGGGACATACAGCCTTCTTTTTATAAAGTATGCTCAGGTCAGAGAAGGTTCCATCTACAATTGGTATTAAATGATTTATTTTAAATGAAGCATAGCACGACAGTTCAGTAGAGATAAAGCCTCTGCCCCTCCCCCTTTTACACTCGATTGCTTATTTAGACTGTAAATTTAATCAATATAAAATTCCAGCAAAAACCAGTATATCTGCTTAGGCCAATAAAGATATGTCCTCCCAAGTTCTCTGAACCTACAAAGCTCAAGATTCCTATATCATGAACTGCAAAACCGACCACCCACGAATATTATGAAAACCTACAGTTGAGCTTTTAAAAGTAGCCATGCACTTTAGCGGCGTTGAAACCAGGGTCGAGTCAAAATTTACTGCCCTTCCGATTGACGACTGCACCATCTAGACTACCACATTTATTCAAATATAGAGTTGCATTTCTTCTTTTCCCTTTTGTCGGCACAATGTTTTAATATTAGAGGTTAGCCTACAGACAAGGCCAAAAAAGGTCGACCTGCAATACTAGTACTGAGCACAATTTTCGAGCCAATCGCGCCAAGCCAGGCGCTCCCCCACGTCAGCTGCTGCACCTAGCACTCCGGTGCAAAGCGGTGAAGCTCGATGCGCACATGCTGGTGCGAGGCGGTGAAAATGGATCCGAGCGGCACAAGTCCCACGGTACATTGTAGCCACGGCATGGAGGCATGTAGTAGACATTATAATCAAGTAATCTCATCACGAGTAAAAGGCCGGGGTTCTGTCTTATTACAGAAGCTGCCATCCCACTATTTTCCACATTTTTCTCGCTATTTTTACTTCCCGAGATTGCCGACATTGCCAGGAAATTCAAACGATGCCGGGGCCAGCGCAGTTCACGAGCAATCTCTATACATCGTTTCATATGAAGTCAATGCACAGCTGAGAATACCAGCCGATGAAACCAATTAAACAGGGGGAGGAAGGGCATACCCTCCCCTCCTCCTCCTCCTCAAGAGCTGCGCTCTAGTTTCGCATTACAAAGATTTGCAAACGTCTTTCATTTTTGGGTTTTCGTGTTCTTTGCTGGTCTCGCATGCAGGTCTGGGCAATTTTCGCTTGTCAATGCATCTGGTGGTTAGATTAGACACTCTAGTTCCAGTTTCTGTATAGTTATTTCTTTTTCCCATGAGATGGTGATTTATCATAAACAAATGCGCAGCCGAGGAAGCACGACCCTCGTGCAGCACGCCTCCCAAGGAGTCTCTCTCTCTCTAGTAACTCTACATAAGTGTGCGTGAAGAACAGAACTTGCCCAACAGCTTCTTGGACTTGACAAAAAGTATGTCCGACCCCCCCCCCCCCCCCCCCCCCCCCCAAAAACAACTGCGTCACAAGCCCTCCCCCCCAAAAAAAAAAAAAATTGAGAAGTGGCACAACTGCAAGATGTATTACAAAGAATGTGAAGCTGAGCACCAGACAAATGTCTTGAGCACTACCTGCAACATTTACCCGTGTTTTACCACATCCAGAAATTGTTTCACAGAATAGCGTGCGTGCCACAATGGTTGAAACTATGTGGTAAAACTTGACCACTGTTCTTATCTAGAGCACCTCAATTTTCAGCCTCTCGCTTTTGAAATTTGGCATATGTTGCATATTTTGAAATTTTCTAGCTGTCATTTTTTGCAGAGATATCTGCATATCTTTCTCATTTTTGTTGTGTTGGCCAAAATAATGTTGGTTTTCAGAAATTAAATCTTGCCTAATTTATTACAGACTCTAATTATATACATATATTGTTAAAAAGAGCATTAAAGGCCCGTTCACACTCTTGCGACCTCTTAAACCTGGGTTCTTTAAAACTTCTTAAACCAGAGAACACACTGGTGCCATCTATTGGGAAGCAGTGTAAACTCGGCGGTCCGGCATATTTTTTTTTTTATTTCTCGCGCATTATCCTATCTTTCTTGGCTCGAAAAACCTTTGTCAATGTTATAAACGAGCCTTTCTATGGGTATTACACACATTTGACCTCGGAAATCCCGCAAAACCTTCGCTCTTGTGAAATGCAGTTCCAGGGTCACCGCATAAATGGCGCCACCATGCCAGTGTGTTCCCTCATTTTAAAAACATTTAAGAAGTTTTAAGAGATCTCGTCTCTCTTAGTCGTACTCGGTCGCAAGAGTGTGAACGGGCCTTTATTGTGCTGTATCTTGATATACTATAACAAATTTTAGAAGCATGTATTTCAGAAAAAGAAAAAGAATACTGGGTCTTCCAAAAATGGGCAGTTTTCCCATGGTAAGGAAAGAGTTTATCAATTTTGCTTCTTTTCTAGTGGCCCCCATAACCTCAAACTTAGCACCAAGGCTAAAAAAACAGTTTAATGCAAGTTCTCTTTTCCTTTTAAATACCGGTCAATCTAAAAACACTGTATATTATTTAGTAGGGTACGTTGTTGGGCTAGTTGGTTCATCTTAGTAAAACATATAAAATAGTGCAACAGAAAGACAAGGACAAGAAGTATACAGGACAGGCGCTTAGTAAAACATATAAAATAGCACCTGTCCTGTATACTTCTTGTCCTTGTCTTTCTGTTGCACTATTTTATATGTTTTACTGTATATTATAATACAGCACTTATTATTGAAGTACAAAAACAATGTAACACAGCTCTTAAACATACAAGTCACATTTTTAGCACCTGTAATGGGCTGTCCACAAACAGAATTACAGGAGCATAAGAAGTCTTTATTTATATTCAAGTGGTCCTTGACCAGGGGTTCTGTAGTCCGTCATTTAACTATATGAATCCTTTGGAAGAGTTTATTTATAATTGCGCAGATAAATGCTACACAGCAGGTGGTAGTGCCTCAAAAAAAAAAAAGGGGAAATAAACGCTAAAAAAAATAGAAATGAACACACCAAAGAGTGTTCTGGCCAAACTCACCAGGCGTCTTATGGGGTACTGTTCTGGCAGACAGAGCACAAAAGCCTCTTCTTCTGCCTTTGCATCACACTGCAAGAACAAATGCACACCATTTCTTCAAGGGTAGGGCTACCTGCCGATATAGCCCAGGTTCACGCAATGCACAATGATAATGGTACCAATGCCGCCATAATTTGTAAGCAAAAGAAACAGATAATCAGGAGACTAGTCAAGATGCTATGAACATTGCTACACTAGAATTATGAGGCAAACACAATAAAAAGCTCACAAAGGAATGTTTGTTTGAACCTTGAACCAAGACCCTACGACTTGGTACTCAAGGACCAAGGTAACTTATGGTCCAGGGCCGACTTCCCAGTTTTTACAGGTGGGAAATCAGACCGAATGTTTTTCAGCCGAGTCTTTGAAAGATTAATGTAATAATGTCACTGTCCTCACGCAAAAAGTATATTTTGCAATTACCAGAGACAAATAACTTGCAAAACCCTAGGTATGAAAGTGAGTCAATACACAAATAATTGTAACTGATTTTATACATTGTACCTCTAAACCCACTTTTATATTTTTGCTACAGCAAAGTACTTTGACAGTTTTCAATTAAAGTTCAAAAGTTTGCAATCTAGTTATGTATTAGCAATAATTTTAATTCCGTTTTCAGCAAATATCGATAACCCCGATAAAGGACCTCCGAAGTGGTTTTCTAGGAATCGGGAAAAACCGAAAAACCCCGGTTCGGAGCTGCCCTTAAATAAAAAAATTACCAAATTTCAAAAAAAAAAAAAAAAATTTTCTCTGCAGCTTTTTTTTTTTTTTTTTTTTGAATTTGAACAAAACTTGATTTAGCGGTCCTTGAGGTTGCTTCTTTCTTGGGGAACCACGTCCCTCGACCTCTGCTCTCGGTAAAGGGATGATCTTATTCAAGTATTTGGGTCATGGGCACAAGTTCAATGGACCGGAAGAAAAGAGGACACCGGAGAAAGGGATGGGGGAAGGGGGCTGCTGATATGGTGTTACAAATTTATAGATATGCTGTTGCTTTATAACATTAGCCCCGATTAACCCTGATTTCTTACCTGGCACTGAAAATAAACACAAAAAAAAAAAACAGCTTACAAGAAAAAAAGAAAAAGAAATTCAGACAAAACATTTCCAAAAAAAATAAACCTTGAAAACACTGAACCCTAGAAATAAGTAATCAAAGAGGTATATTTTATGATGACTGAAAATATGATAAAACGAGTGCCCCATCGCTGCATATAGTTATGTCAACCAAACACTACCTCTCGATTTTAATATCTAGCATTTCCTCTACTCTTCTTGCACTGCAAATTACTTTCCATCAAATCACGCAACTATTACATCACTATCGTTAATCTATAAAAGCCATTTGCATTAAAACCTCCAAGAATATGCGGCACAGCATTTCCCAGTGTTACGAGCATCTGAGGTAAAACTTCCACCGTTGCAAAGTATGTCTAATAAATTTGTTTTCTTATTACTAGAAAACTTGTAACATGTGGAAACAGCACAAAGCTAAGGGGCAGAGGAGAATAATAAACGTGTGACATGCACGAGAGCTCTTTTTGCTCTCTTCCGCACTGTATGTTTAAAGATGGTAGATACACCAACTAGTCAAGCTCAAACACTTGTGTTCAATCCAATGCTAGCGCTACTGGCTTGGCTATGCCAGGGCGCCCCACGCTTACCACTCTGTACGAAGAAAGAGGATCAAGATACTTGGCAGCCAGGCCCTGAAGGTGGTGCTCGTCTATGCCAGTGCCGACAATCACCACGGCGTCAAACTCAGGGCTCTCTCCGTCTTCGAGGGCCACCGGAAACAGCAAGCTGTAGAGACCAGTCATAGCTGAAGCTCAAGCACAGAGTCTAGCGACTGCCTCAGAACCAGTGTCAGCTGCAACTGCAGTCACACACAGCACATTCTCAATATTAGTGGCTCCGATGAGCCAGAAGGCATCATAATTTGGAAGGCTTGCAGTGTTCTGCATCGATCGAGTGAAAGCAGGTCAACAGCTGCATAGCAAAAGATACGGTTTGGCGCAGCTACCGGCGTAACATTATCCCCGATTCTGCGCTGTGTTTTTCCGAGGATGCAGTGCTGAGTGAATGATAATGCTCCTTAGGTGTTGATGTGGTGCTCCCCAATCGGCTTTGTGAAGAAAAAAAAAGAAAGTCGAAGTACACATTGCGACAGTCCAAGAGTTACACTTCGTGCAGGTGACCATGTTTCAGTTTAAAGGAAGAGAAAAAAAAATGGGAAACAACATAGGCATGCACCATCTATTAACTCCTTTACTCTCTGTGGATCAAACATAAAAATTAGCCACACAAAATATGGCAGTTTTTGCATTAAACAAGCACAACTTCCATTCTAATCCTTCTAGAAAGTGCAATGCAAGAACAGATGGAGTAATAAGAATGATTTCTAATGGAATAATTTCTTAATAATAACTCAAATACAAAACCTCCAAAAGTGCTTTCTAGATGCGAGAGACAAGTACCCACTTTCTTGATCGACAGCTCAAAAAGAGCAAGCATGGAAGGATAAGGACAAACTGAGGCTATACTCCGTTTCAACTTAAAGGGACACTGACACCCATGCACAAATAAAAACTTTGGCAAGCACAAATACCCTGTCAGTGTCCCTTTAAGGCTGGTTCACAAACCTGCAACTGCTTACAACTGGAAAGGCTTTAAGACCGGTTTTAAGCCTCTCCGGTTGTAAGCAGTCACAAGAGTGTGAAGCAGCCTTTACAATGGATCACATCAAACGCTATGAACCATCCGAGCAAGTCCAATGCCATGAAAGTGTCACGCGACCTTCCGCCGACACACAAGGCACAGAGTCATGAGCTATGCTCGCAGCGCCAGATTGGCTAAGAGGTTTTATAAAAACTATGCAAAGTCAAATTGAAGCCTGAATGAGGCCATGGAGGACCCAGAAAATCAAGAACTTTAAATAGAGTCCCTCCTAAAGGTAACAAGCAAGTAGTCACTGGGCATCTGGGGCTGGCATTAACCAGGCAGTGCTGCCACTCCTCGCAGGACAGCACCATCACCCACCACTTTTGCACCCTTGGGGTGCCAACAAACCCCCTGTCCCTGTTGCATCTTTGAAGTGCTCCTTCGTTAGTTTGTCAACTTTGTGGGTGACGGTGACGTCGCTGAAAAGACTGAGCAACCGGCTTCACAGAGAAAATCGTTTAAAACACAAAGTCGACAAACGAACGAAGGAGCGCTTCGAAGATGCCACAGGGACTGGGGGTTAGTTGGCGCCCCAAGACTGCAAGAGTGTTTCGGCACCAATGTGTTGCATCTTGAAGTGCTCCTTTAGTCCAATGACTTTGTTAGTGACGTTCAGGTCATTTACTGGACGACAGAACCGGCTTCGTCAAAAAACCATTTACTCCACCTGACACATTCGCTCTAGCTCGTGCTCGCCTCGTTCTTCTCCTATCTCCACGCTAAAATGCCAAGCGGTTACTTTAAATATTCAACAATCTCACGGCGTCAACAGCAACACGAAGAGCATCCGACCACACTGCCGTTTGCTGCATACCAGCTAGGGTCTCTATATTTTATGCCCTATTAGGGTGGTTGTTAAGCTGCTGCAACGTGGCCCAACTTGTATAACGAAGTTTTAGTGCTGCAGGCCCATTAATTCAGTTCAGCTATAATTCAGCAGTGGTCCTCCAACTAGTGATGCAAAACTATCGATAAATCGACTATCGATACTATCGATAGTTTTGGAAAAACTATCCATAGTGTCGCAGAACTATTAATAGTTGACTATCGATAGTACTATCGATAGTTTTTCAATAGTTGACTATCGATAGTACTATCGATAGTTTTTCGATAGTCGACTATCGATAGTACTATCGATAGTTTCGATAGTCGACTATCGCTAGTACTATCGATAGTCGACTATCGCTAGTACTATCGATAGTTTTTTTTACTATCGATAGTCAGATTTTTGGCAAGTATGGAGACTATCGATAGTACTATCGATAGTACTATTGATAGTTTTGCACCACTAGAGCGAACACAGTTGCCACACCGCCGCTCGCCTCCCTTCCTCCTCTCTTCACCCAAACTCCCGTCTTCGTCATCACTGAAAGCTGAACCAAAAATGGGATGTTAAGCGCTTGGACTAGTTGCTGTCCCGTTTGAAAAAATGAAGCAAGAAAAAAAGAGAAAAGGGAGCGACGTAAACTACTACTGTCTGAAAACTATCGATAGTAAACTATTGACAGTACTGTAGATAGGTTTACGACTGTCGACTATCAATATTTTTCCTATAGTCGACTATCAAAATGTTTTCTATAGTTGGCTATCGATAGTTTTTCGATAGTCGACTATATATAGTCTTTCGATAGTCGACTATCGATAATTTTTCAATAGTCGACTATCGATAGTACTATCGATAGTTTTTTTACTATTGATAGTCAGATTTCTGGCGACTATCGATAGTACTATCGATAGTTTTTTTACTATATATAGTCAGATTTCTGGCGACTATCGATACTATTGATAGTTTTGTAGCACTACCTCCAACCCATCCAAGTGCACTGGCACATGAATAAGTTGTAGTCGCACCCCAGTAGCCCCCACATACACCTCGTCTGACGTCCCCCTTAAGCCTTCAATACCACTCCTCAATTTACCGTTCACCCCGGATATGTCTTTCTCCGTTCACAGTGCCCGTGCTCTAGCCAATGTCAGGCATCGCCCGAAATTCACGACGCGGGTCTCTGAAGTGTGCGGTTGCACCACTTTCTGTATCCTATGCACCACGTGCGTGCTTCCGCACCTTGAGTGTTATAGTGCAGTGTGGTTCACATATTAGGCTGGTGGACAGCCTGGAGAGCATGCAGCAGCTGCCACTTGGACCTTCTTCGTGTGCCAAAATGAGCCTCCGCTGCCTTATCAAGGACGTATAAAGCACCTTGAATTCCAGCTGCGAATGGCAACTCTCCTCCATTGGAGAAAAGTCGCCTGTGTAGGCCTGACCCACCGACTCCTCAACGGTCCGAGGAACCACCTCTTCATGTCAATCCTAAGGCTAGACAGGAGGTCAGGGCAGCCACAATTTATTTAAGCGAAAATTGTCGCCACAATGCCTCGCCAGCCCTGGCCAAGATTGCAGACATTCTCACAGCCCCAATCACTGTATGTTCACCCCTTGCCCAAGACTCTGGTGATTCTGCAGCCTTGTGACGACTTTTCTCAGTCTTCAGCAGCAGTCGTCTCTGGTGAACTGAACCCTGACTGAATCCCGTGTTTCATCTTGTATCCCGGGTGGCAGCCTGGCAGGCACACTTACCTATGGGTTTTAACATTTCTGCACAGCTTTGCATGCCACCCAGGGTAACCTTCTTGTGTCAATAAATATTTGATTATCATCATTATTCACAGGAAAATAACCAACAAACACAATGTCCTGAAACATGCTGGCGTGCCCAATTATCCATTCTGTTTTGCTTCTCTGTCCAGCTAAACCTCATCTGAACCAAACACAGCTGTAGCATCAGTAAGTAACCTCCCTAATGTAAAGGTAACTCAAATTATTTGGACCATGTTCAGCGCTTTTTGCTCCAAATCTGTTCGCAATCGCATAATTATGTTGACTGATTTAAAGGAAAAAAACACAGTAAGCCTTCTTTTTGCGCTTCTCTGTATATGAGGGGGTTTCACAAATGTAGGAAGCACGTACATATAAAAAAAAATAAGCTCAAATATTGGACAATACATTGCGCCACCTAGACGGCGTGAAATGCAACTATCTCGCAAAAGAAGCGTTAGGATTTGCCTATCAAGTAGAGTGAACCAACTAACTCTTCTTTAAATGGAACGACCTACGATGATGTAAATTGCTAGGAGGCCGTTCCGCTTAGAAGGTAAATAGTAATATTAAACTGCAAAGTCAGTCACTCGGTGCAGCCGCCTGTTCCCGTCGAATATGAGCCCAAGAAGATCGGCTCTGAAGCGCCAGGGCGTTTTTACGGTTTTAACAATAACAACAAAGAAGATAAACCACGCGACGCTATCCTTCGCGTAGAATTGCTTTTAAATTTCTCCCCAGAGCTTGCCGCGAATCGACAAGCCTGCCAACAAGGAAATAACCGAAGAAACCTACCGGGCAGTATCAGCCATGGTGCACGTCAACTCGTTGAAAAATTCGGTCCCCACGGTTGCCAGAGGAACACCGCAAACTCGCTGGCTGCGAACGAATTTCACTGCAACTCTATGCGCTGCAAAGGCTGCAAAGAGAAGTCATTTTCAGAGACAGACAAAGCAGCGGTGTCACTTAGCGTGTGTGAGTGTGTGTGTGTGTGTGTGTGTGTGTGTGGGGGGGGGGGGGGGGGGGGGGGGGGGGGGCACCAGAGTCGTTTATGTAGAGTTCGGTCATTAATCGCTAAGAATAGGGCGAAAATAAGGGCCGAAATTGTTTCAATGAACTCGGGCGCGATGATACGACAACGTCTCAAACTCAACTCAGCTGAAAACTCAGCTCAGGACAGCG